TAATAACAAATCCTATCCAGCCTAAAATGAACTGACCATGGGATAGAAAAATAACACCTCCAGACTCCCTACATTTTAAGCAACAACTTGCTTACTTTTATTCTTCAGAACAGTTTCACATGAAGTGAAGTCATCATGTCTGTGGTATTAATAGCGGGGACAGGAAACCAAACATTTACTGTATAATTTGCTTCCATGGAAGCTGCTCCCCATTTTCCTATGAGATACCGCAGAATACATGTTCAACAATCTTCTTAACTAGAAAGGGAATCTTTGGGGATAAGGTTGATCAACAGCTGATATTATGTACACCAACAAATTCACGCCTAGATGTTTTTTATATTTTTTTATGATATTCCAAAACAGGAAAAGGAGGAGTTACTTTAGCTACTTCTCTCTTCAACTCAAATTTAATGGCTCTGACCACACCATTTGTTACATTTTTTTTCCTCTTGTGGAATTTTAGTTTGGGGTTAAGTTACTTTAGAGTGAAAACGGATTAAAGTGAAAGTTGTTCTGTGGAATGAAGTCAAGAACAGCTCAAAACCTACTTTATCTCACCAAGTATTTGACCCTTGAGAGAAAACTGTATTTAATTTAGTTAAAAAAGGCAATATCACAGATTTTTTTTTTTTTCCCTAGAGAAACATTATTTTACTTCCAGATTTCCAAACCTGTTACTATTAAGACAGACTGGACACACTAGTAAGTTAAGATTTACATAAGGTTTAGTGGGACTTAAGTTTTGAATTGTCTTACAAATCTGTGTTCAAATAGCTAAATCATCTCAGTCAGAAAACTTGAATTATTAAGATAAATTCTTAAGATTGTCAAGATAAATTCTTGAGAAGGATCTTCAGACATGCAGCTTCAATAAGAGCAATTCTTCCTTCAATAAAGCTCCTGTCTCCTTAAATTTATTTCATGTTAAAAGGATTGATCACAGATCTTTTTACCTATTTTGCATGACATGAAAGATATTAAAAGGCCTTTCAAATCTTCACATACTGATATTTTACCCTCTCTACACTGCTATCTTACCTTAAAGGACACAGTTTAGAGGATGGGTTCATGGGTTCTCTATTTTAACTAAAAAAAAACAAACCCTTTTTTAAAAAAAATCAAGTTGAGTGAATGTTGGTGTTTAGGATATCTCTGTCTTAAAACTTTTGTGCAGAAAATAACTGTGTGTGAGTGCTATTTGAGAGCTCATATGAAGAGAAAGAAAGAACAAAAATATTAGAGATACTAAGTACTATTGTACTACTGCAATCCCATCCTTGTGATTGCTGAAAACATCGGATGACTATACAGTTTGAGAAAAATTAAGCAAATCCTGGCCTTTCATAGTGAAAAAGGGGACAGAGCTCACTCAGAAGCATACACAAACTGAAGATTTACTCTCCTCAAAATCACAATTAATGTTTACTGTGATATATTCTTACTAATGACATTATTCCCACCTTTCACATCTATCACAGAACCCAGAGCACCAACATTTGATCTGTGAAACTATCATCTGAAGGATTCTTTTGGGGTTTGTGATTTTATCTATTACCATACATCTGATCTTAGGAATCTAATCCTCACCTTTAGAAAGAAAAGGTTTCAAAAAAAAAGAAAAAAAGCCCAAACTTTGGAT